TATTTTGGTGATTTTCCAGCTATCTTTTATTGATTTCTAGTGTAACTGATTGTGGTCTGAGAATATACTTTGTATGATTTCTATTTTTTAAGTATCTGTTACGTTGTGCCTTATGGCTCAGAATGCAGTCTGTCTTGGTGAATGTTCCAGATGAGCTTGAGAAGAAGTGTATTCTATTGTTAGATGGAGTATTTTATAAATGTCAACAATTAGATACAGTTGATAGTGCTATTCAGGTCAATTGTATCTTTACTTACCCCTGCTTGCTTGATCTCTCAATTACTTGAAAGAGGGGTGTCGAAGTATCCAACTATAAGAGTGAAGAAAATAGCGAACAAAAAGACTATACAAAAAATTGATAAAACAGAGATGGTTCTTTGAAAAGATTAATGAAACTGACAAACCCCTGGCTAAACTCACTAAAGAAAAAAACGGAAAAAGAACCATATAAGCAAAATCAGAAATGAGAGAGAAGTTACCACAGACACCACAGATATACAAAGGATCATACTGGAATATTATGAAAGACTATATGCCACCAAATTCAATAACCTAGAGAAATGGATAAGTTCCTAGAAATATATAACTTTCGTAGACTAAATCATGAAGAACTGGAAAATCTAAATAGACCAATCAGCAGTGAGGAAATTGGAACCACCATCAGAAACCTACCATAAAAGTCCAGGACCAGATGGCTTCACCAGTGAATTCTATCAAGTGTTCAAAGACGATTTAAAACCTATCCTTCTCAAAATCTCCAAAAAGTTGAAAACGAGGCAATACTTCCTAACACATTTTATGAGGCCAGTATAACCCTGATACCAAAACCTGGCAGGGATAACACACACAAAAGAACACTATAGACCAATATCTCTGATGAATACAGATGCAAAAACCCTAAACAAAATACTAGCAAATTGAATACAGCAGTACATTTAAAAAACAAAACAAAACATGATCAAGTGGGGTTCATTCCAGGGGCACAAGGATGGTTCAATATACATAAATCAAGCAATGTAACACCACATTAGCAAAAGAAAGGATAAAAGTCATATGTTCTTATCTACAGATGCAGGAAAAGCATTTGATAAGATACAACATCCATTTATGATTAAAACATTCAATAAAATAGAAATAGAAGGAAAGTATCTTAACATAATAAAGGCCATATACAATGAAACCTCAGCTAATATCATACTCAATGGTGAAGAGCTGAAAGCTTTTCCTCAAAGATCAGGAACAAGACAAGGATGTCCACTCTCACCACTCTTATTCAACATAGTTCTGGAAGTCCTAGCCAGAGCAATAAGGCAAGAGAAAGAATAAAAGGCATCCAAATGGGGAAGGAAGAAGTAAAACTGCCACTTTTTGTGGATGGCATGATTCTGTATATAGAAAACCCTAAAGATTCCACCAAAAAACTTAGAAACAATAAACAAATACAGTAAAGTGCAGGATACAAAATCAATGTACAAAAATCCACTGCCTTCCTGTATACTAACAACAAAACTTCAGAAAAAAGAATGGGGGAAAAAATTCCTTTTGCAATTGCAACCAAAAGAATAAAATACCTAGGAATAAATTTAACAAAGAATGTGAAAGACCTATATACTGAAAATTACAAAGCATTATTAAAAGAGATTGAAAAAGACACAACAAAATGGAAAAATATCCCGTGTTCATGGATTGGAAGAATCAACATAGTTAAAATGGCCATATTACCCAAAGCAACATACAAATTTAATGCAATCCCCATCATAATACCAATTGTCATTTTTTAAAGAAATAGAACAAGAAATCATCGGATTTGTATGAAACTGCAGAAGACCCCGAATAGCCAAAGCAATCCTGAGAAAAAAGAATGAACCTGGAGGTATCACCCTACCTGACTTCAAATTGTACTACAGAGCCACAATAATCAAAACGGCATGGTATTAGCACAGAAACAGACACATAGATCAGTGGAACAGAATAGAGACCCCAGATATAAAACCACACGGATATGGGCAGATAATTTTCAACAAAAGATCCAGAAACACACAATGGAGTAAAGATAGTCTCTTCAATAAATGGTGCTGGGAAAACTAGAAAGCCACGTGCAAAAGAATGAAACTGGATTACAGTTTCTCCCCAGGTACAAAAATTAACTTAAAATGGATCAAAGACCTAAATGTGAGACCCGAAATAATAAGTTACATAGAAGAAAACATAGTTATCAAACTTACGGACCTTGATTGTNAAACATAGTTATCAAACTTATGGACCTTGATTGTAGAGAATATTTTATGAACTTGATCCCAAAGGCAAGGGAAGTAAAGGCAAAAATAAATGAATGAGACTATACCAAACTCAAAAGCTTCTGCTCAGCAAAAGAAACTGACAACAAAACAAAGAGGAAGCCAACAAGATGGGAGATGATATTTGCAAACAGTGGCTCTGACAAAGGTTTAATTTCCAAAATATATAAAGAACTCATAAAAACGCTAAACAAACAACCCAATCAAAAAGTGGACAGAGGACCTGAACAGACAGCTCTCCCAAGAAGACATGCAAACATCCAATAGATATATGAAAAGATGTTCAACCTCACTGGCAATTAGGGAAATGCAAATCAAAACTACAATGAGATACCACCTCACACCTGTTAGAGTGGCTATGATCAACAAGACAAGCAATAACGAGTACTGGAGAGGTTGTGGAGAAAAGGGAACCCTCATTCACTGCTGGTGGGAATGTAGACTGATACAGCCACTATGGAAAGCAGTCTGGTGTTTTCTCAAAAAATTAAGAATAGAGCTACCATACGACCCAACAATCCCTTTCCTGGGTATATACCTGAAAAACTCGAAAACGTATTCCCAAAGATATATGCACCCCTATGTTCACTGCAGCATTACGGTGGCCAAGACATGGAAACAACCAAAGTGTCTGGCAACAGACTGGATAAAGAAAATGTGGTACATGTATGTGAAGGAATACTACTCAGCCATAAAGAAAGGAAGAAATGCTGCCATTTGTAACAACATGGATGGACCTTGAGAATATTATGCTAAGTGAAATAAGTCAGTCAGAAAAAGCTAAGAACCATATGATTTCACTCATATATGGGATACAAAACTGAAACTCATGGACATAAACAGCAGTGTGGTGGTTGTCAGGGGGAAGGGGGTGGGGGTGGTGGGTGAAGGAGGTCTTAATAAATGGAGATGAGAGAAGATATGACTTTGGGTGGTGGGCAGACAGAGCAATATACAGATCTTATAAAATAGAAACCCACACCTGAAACCTATATGTTCATATTAACCATTGTCACCCAATAAATTTAATAAAGTGTTAAAAAATAAATAATAAATAAATAAATAAATAAATAAATAAATAAATAAATAATAAAATAAAGAACATCTTTTGGGTACTACTCTTTCCTTAACACCTTGTAAATTCTTATTTCTGTAAGAAGGACTTTAGGAAGAAGGGCCTTTGTAGACAGTTCCGTTAGATGAGAAAATAGATAGATGGGAAAGGCTGAGACTGGAAAAAGACAAGAAGCTACTAAACACATGAAGACTGAGAGCATATACTGTGACTATTTGAAACCACTATTCCTATGCACAAAATTCCAAAGGGCTTCCTATAGTTTCTACCACAAAATTACTGTGTAACAATATAGTTTTAAATGATGGCCAGAGAATGAAGGCACAACAGAGGTACAGACACTCTGAAAAAACAGTGCCATTTTACATTCCCACCAGCAATATTAGTGATTCACTTCCTTCACATTCCCCCCAACGTTTGGTACTGTCATGAAAAATTTTCTTAGCCGTTTTGATTGGTGTATTATATATTCTAGATACTGTAAAGAAACTTGGGAGTTTGGGAGAAACTTTGAGTTCAGAAATTAGGACAGTTTAGGCTTGTCCCCTCAGAGTCTGTGCTCAGAATGCAAGGTGAAGGACGCATCTATTTTGGAGGAATTAGATGAACACAACAGGGAAGCAGTTAAGTTGGGTTTGGAATGGGTGTGGGTAGAACAGTATGAAATGGGATTGTGGGAGACCCTTGCTCTACAGTAACCAAGGAATATTAGAGCACTTGTTCTTATCCTGGACTCAGAAGTAAAAGAAAGCAGCACAATGCAGAATCAAAAGAGGAGTGAGGCTGCCAAACAGAAAGACAGGAGCAAGAGTCTGCTCTTAGAAACTTTCTCCAGAAGATTCTTTTCCCCTAAGTGTAAGTCCGAAGTTTGGCTCCAAAAGCATCAGCTATCCAAACACAGAATGGAGAACTACCTTGACAACAGCTGCATTCTCCCGCCCCTTCCTCTCTCCCGGCATCCAGTCTAGCACAAGGAAGCCCCACGCAGAGCTGAAGGCGCCGCTCAAACCCTTAAGACATAAATACATGCTTGAGCGGTTTTAGCAATAGTGTTCAGGGCAAAGAAAGAAAGTGCCCCGCTATATCCTCTATAAATCAGGCCGCGCCCACAGAAACCGATGCAGTGTGAGGCTCCACACTGGAGAAGGCCGTGACGATCCACCTTGACCTACACGGACTGGAAATTCTGCATAAGGAATTCGACACCAAGTTGCATTCTGGTTGGAGAGCAGCAAATGCAGGAAGCAAGGATCTCTTTCAGAAGGAAGGGTGAGCGAGAACGGCGCCGGCGGGAGGGCCCCTGCCTCCTGAGCGGCCGGAAGGCGATCAGATCCGCCGGAAGCGCAGCAAGCGCTGCCGGAACACCGGAAGTGGCGCCGACGGAAGCGGTCACGGAGGCGCGACGCGCAGAGTGGAGGCGGGACGCTGGCGGGCCCGCGTGTGTTCCAAAGCGCCAGGAGCGAGGCAGTCGTCCCTGCGCAGGTGACGAGCTGTGACGCCTGAGTGGTTGCCCGGGTGCGGGTGCGGCGCGGCGGGGTTCGGAAACCCGTGACTCCTTTCTTCGACGCCCCTCTAGTGGAGAGCAAGTGGCTGCGACTGAGCCGTGGGCGGCCGTAGGGCCGAGAACCATGAGGCCCGGGGGCGCGGGCTGCCCTGCCAGGCTGCTGCTGGCTGTTGGCTGGTTGTTCCTGGCCGGCCTCCAGTCCGCTTGCGGGGCGAACGTCACCTCCGAGCCGGATCCCGGCTTTGCCAGCCCAGGGGATGAAGAGGAGGGCGAGGTCCTGGGCCAGGGCGAGAGCATGGGCATGGGCCAGAGCAACGAAAACGACGGCGAAAGCGAACACGAAAGCGAACACGAGCATGCGGGCGAGACCGACGGGGAGGCCCAGAAGGAGGCGGAGCATTACACCGGCGAGGCGGAGCATTACACCGGAGAGGCGGAGCATTACACCGGCGAGGCGGAGCATTACACCAGCGAGGCTGAACACACGACCCAGCCTGAGGATGAATCTGAGGAGGATGGTGAAGGTGGGAGGCTCCTTGGTGGGGACAAAGTCACCTGTTGAGGGCAAAGCCCAGCCTTTTGTCCGAGGACACAGAATTATTCCTATTAACATTTGTAGAGCTCTTTGGCGAACAGCCACAAGTTTATACCTTTTTCACTCACATAATAGCTTTGAAGAAATATATGTTAAATTTATAAGGCCACAGCAAGCTGAACAAGCCCATATCTAGAAGTTGCTACAGAAATACTGCTAAAAAGAAGCTTTATTTAGTTTTATTTTTTTAATTTATTTTTTGTTTAAAATATTACAGATGTCCCTTTTTCTCCCCAATGACCCGTTCTACCCTGTCCCAT